ACATTCTGTGATTCTGTGATATACAAAAGCAGTATTGAACCCAACTCCCCTGATGGCAGTTACATCACCATTGCCCGTGATGGTGTGGAGCATGCCCTGGGGAAGTTTCAGACTGGACTTGATGGCAGATGGGAAGAAAATTCAAGAGTTGGATTGTGGAACTGGATTCAGGAGCACACAGATTTGGATTGAAAGTAGAACAGAGAGAGTTCTCCTTGGATGCTGGCCATTGAAGAAGAGAGCTTGAGCATCATGATCTCTCAGCTTTATACTGAATGTGATGTATATGGGATGGAATCACCTTGATGGTCAGTGTAGGATTACCTGTCCTGTCTGCTTCTCCTTATAGGTGAAGCCTTTTTATTTCTGCACCCCTAGTGTGGTACGCAGGATTTAGCAGTGACCTTGGTCTGCAAACCAGTCCTTGGTAGCAACTGTGAGGATTGTGTTATCTCTGCTAAAAGCTGAGACTGTCTACAAAACAAACAAACAAACAAACAAACAAAAAACAACAAAAAACCACAACTTTGCTGAAAAGTGAAATCACTGAACAGAATTTTTCTATTCTGACTGAAACCATGGCAAAGGTCGATTACTAAAAAGACAAAAATACTGGTTCCTGGTATTCATGGTGCGTAGCACCCCGTTAGAACAGTTATTGTCATGACTAAGCTTGTGATGGGTTCATCTTGATTGCACTGGAATTCAGGGAAGTGGGAATGTTTTATTTCGTCCCAAATTAGTTTTATTAGTTAGGTGCTGGGCACTGTCCATCTCCTCTATTTAGCCTGAGATAAATTGCTCTTTATTGGGTCCTATTTCTCTCCATTGATTTTAAGGGAAAATTACCCTAGAGGCAGACATGCACAATCTAAGATTAGGTTAATTTGCATCATAAATGCTTTAGATACATATTTATTACAGGCACTTTGTGTTATTCTGTATAAAAAATGAGACAGATCTGCCATAGCAAGATTTACTCTTTATGGAAAGGAAATGTTTTGTTGGGGTAGAGGTTTTCCCATATTAAGACCCTTATACAGAGCAATTGTTTGTAGTTGCTGAGTTAGGTAATTACATCTGTCTGCAGAATGGAATCCTAACACACTAATGAACTGGCGTGTGTGTGACTCTCTACCTTGCAAAGAGGATTTCAATTCCTGCCTTCCAGCCTATGCTTAATCTTTCAGAGTGCACTGCCTTCTAACACAGAAAACTGTCTTTGTGAGGACAGTGAGGAATACTTTCTTTCAAAAATACACTGAAATGGCAGTTTGCTGAACATGATTAAGTTAATGGTAATACTTAATTGTTGCTTCAGTATTTTCACTGGTGAATTAGAGAGTTCCAAGAAAAAAATATTTGCAGTAAAATATACGGTGTTGCCACTGGGGTATTTTAGTCTCTGTAGATTTTAACCAAGGCTTTTACTTATGTCTCTTGTTTATTATACAAACGTATCCTCATTTTTAAATGTTCATTTGTATGCATTTAACAAAATAGATCAAAATCAGCCTGCTTAACTGTACTTATAGTTTCATTTGGTCTTCTAAAAGAAATAAATGTTGAAGATGATGTAGAGCATTAATGGAATGTGTTAAGATCTTTTCAGCTTTGTGTTGCAGAAAAGCTTTGTTCTTAACTGTCAATTCCCTAATACAATTCAGAGGCAGAACAAAAGTGGAAGGTGGTTGTGCAATCTATTGTCCTGTGACCAATTTCTATACCTAGTCCCTTTACTGAGCACATATGTTTCAGTAAGAAAACTTGGGATCACAACAGGATGGGGAGTGGTATATGGAAGTATTTAAAAGTACTTTCACTATGATCTTCTTTTAAAATTATGTGTATAATCGTATTGCACGTTTAATTGTAATGTCACACTAAGAAAAATGCTTGCATGTCTACAGTTTGAGCTTTGTGTGCTTATTTGAAAATGAGTTGCTTAGCTGTTGGAACAAATCTGCATTTATTTAGCAAAATGGATTTTATGCACTTAAACAAGAAAAAGTATGTGATGTTTATTTTTTATTTTAAATTTTGGCATCCAGATGCTTTCTTTTACTGTTCTAAAGGTTTATCCACTTGGGTAGTTTTTCTTTTCATCTTACGTCTTTTTTTTTTTTGTGGCTACGGTTTTCCTGTTCCCCCTGTTCTTCTCCCATCCTACTTGTTTTTTTTTCCCCTTTTTCAATTGGGGGTTTACATTGAGAGAGACAGGGTGAAGAGAAATGTACAAGATCTGTAATTTAGCCAAGTTTGTGCATCCTTATTTTATCGAGTTTGTAAGTGTACATCTGATTATACATCTGACTGTTTTCTCCATGAAAAGGAAAAAATAGTAGATTTCTCTTAAAATGTTTTATGTTGAGTGTACTTTTCATTTATATCTTCTTTGTCCCCTTCCTATGCTTTATCACTTGTATTGGTATAATACAAAAGCTTCCACAGAACCACTGCATTGAGCATCCAGTTTGAAAAGCTATTATTAACATTTACATTTTTTTTCAAAGCGACACAAAAAGTTAGAACATTCTGTATGAGGAATTATATATAACAGCTTTGATGGTTGATATTTTTTAATGTTGTTTTCTAATAGATACTTGATATAAAAAGTAATGCCTGTTTTGACAACTTACATGAATAACCTGGGTACTGTGGGTTTGGTTTTTTGTGTTTGTTTTTTTTTTTTTTCCCATTTTTTTTAAATGAAAGCTGTGACCTTCTAACCATCATAGAGAGTAATGTTTTGTATGTATATATTTTTGTAAGTTCTGGCCAGGATATCCAAGGAACAAGTGTGGTTGCAAATCTTCCAGTCCTGATGCGACAGAATCCTGCAGAAACTCTTCGTCGGGTTTTACCAAAAATCAGAGTAAGTTGTGTGTAATGAGGTTTGAATGTATCTTTTCCTATCAGTATAAGCATTTTTAAAAATTAAATTTATGAGCTTATGGGCTTATGAGAGAATTGGAGACAGACTTTTTAATAGGGCATGTGGTGATAGGACAAGGGATAATGGTCTTAGACTAGATGAGAGTAGATTTGGAACAGGTTGCGCAGAGAGGTGGTAGTTGTCCTATCCCTGGAAACATTCATGGTCAGGTTGGACAGGACTTTGAGCAACCTGATCTAGCTCCAAATGCCTGTGCTTACTGCAGGGATATTGGACTATATGACTTTTAAAGGTCCCTTCCAACCCAAATCATTCTGTGATTTTAAGGAAGATAAATATCTATTTGTCCCAGCTTTGACCCCTTTCCTAGAGGAGATGAAAACATTCATTTAAGGTGTGTTTTAAGGAGCAGTTTCAGCCAAATAAGAATAAACTGTACCACAAACGCAAATGCAAAGCTAAATAACTCAAAATAACTCTCTATAAGGCTACAACAAGAATTCAGACTTTGATTATATTAGCCTGCCTGTTAGAGTGGTTCTCAGTGGTTTTTAATGACCACCAGCTAAGTGGAAAAATATTGCTGAGTGGCTATCAAACTACCTGAAAGTTTATTTTAGTAACATCACATTTCTGAGAAGTTTTTAAAATTAGGTCAGTGTGTTGTCAGTCTTCTGCTGATACCATTGACAGTTTTTATGTGATTAATTTAAAGTTTTGATTTAGAACAGTCTCTGGCATGGACTCGTGTAAATGATCCCCTTGATATAAACCTGGTTCTAGTGTATACGGATTGTCAGCTGAAGGAACATTGTGTTAGCAACTGTTTGGCTGTAGTAATTGAATGTATGTGCTGTCTGTGGGAAAAGAGATAAAAATCACAAGGGTTTCTCATAGAAACTTAATTTTCCAAGCATTGTGTTGTTGCCCTCTTTTTGCTGGGATAGAGTCCTGGGCTAGCCATGGTCTGCAGGCTGTTCATTTTGAGCCAGCCAGGAGCTTAAGCTGGCCAGAGCACCTGCCCTGAGCTTGCTATTAGGTGTATCCCGTACTGTAAATATCATGGTTTTTATAAAGGTGGAGGTTTGCTGAGGATAGGGTCACCTCTTGTTCTGTCTCCTCCTCCTCCCTCTCCATGGAGTGGCTCACGTAACTATTCTGCTTCTGAGGACTGCTTGCCTGTTTATTGTGGCCACTGTACATTTGCTGGGCTGAGTATAACTTTGAGTAATTTCTACTGGCATTAGTATTAGTTTTACTTCAGTTTCTTTAAATGTTTTCTCATTTCAACCTGTGGGTCCTTTCTCTTTTTCTCAATTCGTCTTCCTGGCTGGGGACGGGTCATTGGATGATAGAGCAACTGCTGTGGTTTAGCCTTGGATACAGGCTAAGTGCACATAATGGCCCTAATGATTTTATGGACAGACTCAGTTTCCCCATACATTTTTAGAGATATGTTTGATGTTTTGTGTGTGATTCAGTCATGATTCTACCTGGACATTGTAGAATTTAGTGTTTGGTTTGTTTTTTTTTGCCGTGTAATATAAAATTCTTTCAATTTTTAACACCATTGGTCAAGAGGAGTGTTATTGTTGCAAACAACTAATCCTTAAGAAGAGTATTTAGATCACTTCAGAAAGATGGAAAGAGTTTACCTAGTTATTGACTCAAGTTAATTATGAATTTGATCTAAAATACATTGAACTGAAAGTTTGAGTTACGTTAAGAGTTTCCTCAGCTATGTTCGCTCTAATTCAGACTCTTCAGGGCTGAGAAGAAAAAGTGCTCTGGAGTAGCTGCTCTAAGTTTTCTTTCTGTATTTGTATCAGATTCTCATTACCAGGTGTAAGAAAGCATATAATTATATTAGTAACCAAAGTGAGATGACTGAGTCACATGTTTACGTTACAGTTTTCCATTTATGAAGGAGATGATTGCCAAGTAGTGCGGTGAGCTCATTCAAAAATGATACTTGCTTGTTCCAGTCAATTCTCACTTATATTTCATTGTTTTTTGCCAACATTTTGAAGAAATTAATTCTTTTTTTTGAAAAGCTGTGTGGATATGTCTCTTTCGTCTTTTTTTTCTCTTTACTTTTAAGGCAGCCACCTTAACATTATATTAAAAAAAGAATTCTGGGAAAAACCCCCCAAACCCATATTGTGACAAATCACTTGGTGTATTTCTTACTGCCTGTGGAATTGGTCTTAAACTGAATCCTTCCTCCATCTCATAATCTTAAGAAGGTGTCTGCTTGGTGGACATTTCATTATTTGTGAAAAATTAATTTATTTAATTTATTATTTATTAATTTAATTCATTTATTGACTTATATTCTGCTTATTTATTATGAACTGACTGAAAGGTGAGAAATGAATATGTATGTAGTCCTCGATATGATTATTTAGCAAATATTCTGTGGGATATTTAAATGCAGCCCTACTGCAGAGGAGTTACATTTCGTGTGGTGGATGTACTCAGTAATACTCCCTGCACTGATACGTGCTGGGGCCAACCAGCTGAAAAGCAGCTTTGTAGATAAGGATGAGGTGGACACTAACTTGAATGTGAGCCAGCAACATGCCACTGCAGCAGAGCATCCTGGGCTGCATTTAACAAAATATTGCCAGTGGTTCAAAGAAGGTGATCCTTTCCCTCTATTCTACCCTCTACTCCACTACACCTGGAACCACTGTGTCCAGTTTTGGGCTCCCCAGTACAAGACAGGCATGGACATACTGAGGATTAAGGGTCTGGAGCATTTCTCCTATGAGGAAGGGCTGAAAGGACCGAAACTTCAGCTGAAGAGAAGGCTTGGAGAGGATCTTACCATTGTATATAAACACCTGAAGGGAGGATGCAAAGAGGACAGAGCCAGGCTCTTCTCAGTGGTACCCAGGGACAGGGCAAGAGGCAGTGGGCACAAACTGAAATGCATGAGGCTCGTTGTGAACATCAGGAAACACTTTCACTGTGAAGAGTGTCTGAGCACTGGCACAGGCTGCCTGGAGAGTTGGTTGTCTCCTGCCTTGGAGGTACTCGTAAGCTGTCTGGACATGTTTTGGCTCTAGGTGGCTCTGCATGAGCAGAGGGATTGGACAGAATTAGCTCCAGAGGGCCCTTCTAGCTTTAACTCTTCTGTGAATATCAGACATCACCTTTAACCTTCATATTATCTCCTGAAACCTCTGTGATGCCAGGAGACTCCTGTTTCTTAAGAGGAGCTGTTCAAACTTTTGTCTGATTATTTTGATTTAGCAAATGGCCAAGAAATAGTTGTCCTCAGAACTAAGGACTAGTATAGACGGTCACATGTTTTAGAAAACCATTAAAGTACTTCTAGTTATCATATTCTGTGCTATAAGATGCATTACAATAGGCATTTTGTTTAAATATACGTGTAAAACAAACAAAAAAAAGCTCTGAGAGAAAGTCTAAAGGGGTTTGAATTGCTTTGCAATTTCAGCTTACACCAAGTTTCTGCAGTTACTACTACATGTTATTCTGACATTCATAAAGCATTCTTTCCTAAACCAACCTACTAGCTTCAAGAAATGTTTTTATTTTGTTTCCCATACTGAATCCATTTTTTGTTTCTGCTTTGAGAGCAGAGTTATTCCTGAAATGAAGGAATAATAAAAAATGCTGTAGGTCTTTTTACCCTTTTTTGTCAGGGTGTGGCGAAGTGGTAGTCCTTCTGTTTCTGCTTTTATTAAAAAGTTTGTTTGAATACAGTTTTTGTTTCTAGTCTTAGTTTTTTATGTAGAGATGGAGAAAAAAAAATTAAAAGGATGATTATTAGTATGATCAGGGCCACAGGCCTGGAAAATAGTTGTGAGTTGGATCTCAGTGTGTTTAGATCAGGCAGAAATTAATTACTTTGTAAAAGTATCTTCTTACTAGAGGACATTCAAGTGAAAATGGTATATAAGTAAGAAAAGTTAGGAATTTGAGACAAATATTGGAAACGAAGTTGTCAATTTTAATAATAAATCAATCTTTGAGCAAATAACTGAGAATATTAGTATGGTTTTCATCTTGCAATGTCATTTAAATTTAAACTGTCTTCCTAGGTGATAAATTAAATTAAACATAATTTAATGGGCTCAAGACAAGTAAAAGAGTGAAATATAATAAGGTCAGTCTAAATCTTAGTGTTCCTTTCAGGTTTAAGCTTTATAAATATAAACTTTCTGGAATGTATGAGTTAAATTTCTTTCTGTGTCTATACTCATAGAGCAGGTTCTTCAGTGGTCTGTTATCTAATATTTATTTAATCTGTACTGGAAGAATAGTTCTGTTTTACTCATGTTCACTGTACTTTTAACAGCAAAACAATATTTGCCATCATTAACTACTAGACCTATTTTTTTCCCCTTATCCTTGTTTTTATTGGAGAAATAGTCCTGACCATTAAATGGAAACAGTTACAATCTATAAAGGCACAACTGAACTCAACTGTGATTAGTCTTGCAAATGTAGTCCGGCATTGCAAGGAAATAAGATGAGTGAAATGGCTACGCTTGGTTTCACTTCAGTAGATTGGCAAAACAAGCTCAACATGAGGGAGCAGCATGCTGCAGTAGCCAAGAAAGCCAGTGGGATGCTGGGCTGCATCAGCAAGGGCATCACCAGCAGAGATAAAGAAGTTGTTACACTGGGAAGCTGCCACATGAGAAAAGGCTGAAAGAGTTGGGTTCAGTCAGTCTTGAGAAAAGAAGGCTTAGGGGAGACCTTATCACTGTGTTCTAGTGTTTGAAGGGTGGCTACAAAGAAGATGGAGACTCCTTTTTCACAGGAAGTCACATGGAGAATGTGGGTAGTAGGTACAAGTTATTCCTGCAGAGATTCCAGCTGGGCCCAAGGAAATTTTTTCATGAGAACCATCAGCCATTGCAAGAACCTCCCCAGGAACGTGGTGGATTCCCCAACATTGAGGGGCTGGAACTTGTCCAGAGAAGGACAGTGAAGCTGGGGAAGGCTCTAGAGCCCAGGTCTGGTGAGGAGCAACTGAGAGACCTGGGTTTGTTGAGCCTGGAGAAAAGGAGGCTCAGGGGAGTCCTACTCATTCTTGTCAATTCCCTAAAAGGAGGTTGGAGCAAGGTAGGGATCGGTGTCTTTTCCCAAGGAACAAGGAATGGTGAAGTCCCCATCCCTGGAGGGGTTCAAAGAGCTTGTGGGTGTGACAGTTCAAGACATGTTTTAGTGGTGATGCTAGTGTTGGTTTGATGGTTGGACTTCATGAACTTACAGGTCTTTTCCAACCTTAATGATTCTATGATTGGACACTTGTAAGATTCATCGGGACAGGGTGCTGGACTGTCTTGTCTAGACTGTGCTTTTAACAAGAAAGGTTGGATCAAATGATCCTTGAGATCCCTTTCAACCTGGTATCCTGTGATCTGTGAATTAAAATCTTCATGTGAAACATGAGTTGTATAGTAGTTTCAGGGTGGTATTTATCTGAAAGTATTGTCACCGTATAACTGGGTAGGGAAACGAGTGTACTTACTTAGCACGCTTGCAGAATCCCAAAGTAAAAATAAGTACTCTTTTTATTAGAGCTGAGGATAGAACACATATAGGAAGAAATAAATGCAAGGAATGTTCTGGCTTGATACATTACAAATTTTTATTTCACTTAAGAGAATCTGATAAACCTGGTTACTCTTATAAATTAATGTAGCAATATGCAAATTGCTTGTCATTCCTTGAAAGCTAATTAAGTTAAAATTATATCAAAGACCTTTTATATATTTAACATGGTTTAGGCATGAGATGAGCAAAATAAAAAATGAAATAGGTCTGATCTATGTAACCATGGGTGTCAATATTTTGGTTATGCTCATAAAACATAGCTTGTCTATCATTTAGATGTTAATGTAAGAATGAGATTATTAAATATTTTTTAAAAATTCTACAGTTAAAATAGTGTCATCTTTGTATGGATTATTTACATAGAGATCCCTGCTCTCTGGATTTCTGCATGCACCTCCTCATGACCCTTGGAAGTCATTGAAATGCAGGTTTAAGGAAGACTTACAACATTCTACTCAGCATTTTCTCTTGTGCACCAAATGGCTCCTTTCAAATGATATTAGTAGTATTTTTCCTGTTTTCTATCCTTGGACACTGCCACTGAAAGCAGTGGAGGGAGATTACAGGTGTCTAATTGATTGAACTAATAAGAGATCTTTCCAAATGGCTGTGATTGAGGAAAACTGTGGCTACTCTTGTTGAAGTGAGTACATCAAGCCTTACTCAGTGCTGTCTGATTAGTTACATGCTAATTTTCATAATTACTTATTTTCCTAATATATCATTCTCCCCTTGAAAGCTTTTCTTTTTCCCTGGTTGATTTTATAGTTTAAGAAGGGGTGGGTGATTTCTTACTCTGTCTTATACAGAGCATTGATTTTAAGGTCCATCCTCATTGTCTCTCAGAGCTTCTGTAATCTTCGTTACTCCTGTGCCTTTCTAGTCCTAAGTGAAGTTTTCTGTTATATCAGCACGGTTACTGAAACAATTGATGATGTTTCTGCTTGCAGCATTCTTTCAAGAGAATTCCATTGCTGCAGAACATAAAGTGAATTAAGCTAGAGGTGAAATTTCTGTTTACAGATTGATGGAATAAGCGAGACTTTCTACATTTTGCAACTTTTTATGCCTGAGTTTAACTTTTAGACATTAGGATAGTTCAAGAACACACTAATACCCTTAAATTCCATTAAGTACGCTTCTCTGAGTAAGATAGACAGGAAAAGAGTTTTTCGTCCAGAGTTAGTATCTGTGGAGAATCCATGTATAGAAAAATACATTGCTTTCTAAATAAATAAAGTAAATTCAAGTCATTCAACTTGGGTTCAATGAAATTGGAATGAGGAGACCCATACGCACTCCCATATGTGGGACTGTACAGTTCTGAGTGCAAACATCAGTGCAGGCAGGTGTGGAAGCAATCTAGAAATTGACATTTCAGTGTCTCCTGAGGTCCATGAGGAGGCACATGCAGAGAATGTGTTCTCACACATGATTATCCAGAGTTGTGTGGATCTGTGGAGAAAGATATTTGGAAAGTTTATTTAATGGTAAGTAATTCTGTTTGCATTGCATACAAAGTGACTATGTACATAAAAATAAATTCAGCTTCATTATGTTCTGGTCTGCAGTGGTGTCTTTGCATGTACAGTGTGTAGATAGTTCTTTTGGTTATTTTTGGGGTATTTTCTTGAACAAGCGTAAACCAAACTCCCAGAACAGTATGTACAAGTATTCTGACCCCAGAAACATTCAAATTACAAAACTGGTAGGTATCCTTATTCTTGGCTATGGCCATTGTAGTCAGTGGAGAAACAAGGATAGAGATAATCTTGTTATCTGTGGAGATAACAAAAGGGCTGTTTCTATGGCTAGTGGATGCACGTATTTTGTCACACCTCGACAGGTAAGCTGCACAATGCTGCTGCTTTTTTCCATTTTGAGGAGCAGGGGCACAGCATGCTTTTGCAAGTACAGGTGGCTGTAAACTGAGAGAGCTGTTGAGAGATAAGTAATGGTTCTCTTTGAAATCAGATAAACTGAAAATGTTGCATTTGCACATGCAAATGTTGACTTTTGTCTAATGAAAATTTCTTGTTGCTTTACTTTGAGGTAAGCAAGGTTACTAAATTTCTCAAGGTATTCTCTGCATACTGTATTTTCTTGGCAAAATTCCTCTGCTATATAATACTTAGGTGCATAATGGGTATTTTCTTAATTTGTTCTAGACTGATAATTTGTTCTAGGCTGATTTTTTACGTGAAGATAGTATCTTACTGATTTTTGGTATGTAATTTGAGAAAACACTGTTCATCTCAAGCACTTCAAAAAAAGAAACAAAACCATATATATAAAGTGTTAAATAGGAAGTATGGGCTTTAAATTTTTACTGAGTTTGGAGTCGTGTAAAAGGAGTTTAATTCTTTAGTAGTAGAATAATGCACTTTATTTTCTTGTGAGATATCTATGCTTAGAGAATTAACCTAGCTGATAGATATGTACATACTTAGAATGAATACTACATCACAGATCGCATCCAGCAAGCTCCTTGGCATGTGCATGAATCTGAAATTTAAATTGATGTTTTGCTTGATTCAGAAAAAATTTGGTAGTATTTTATTTGTGTATTATCTTCATTTAACTTTTGATGCTTTCAAAGACAACCTGATTATATTCTTCTATGTTAAAGCTAGGTACCGGTAAATGTTGAATTACCTAGATAAATATTCTAGTACATCTTTATTAAGACTATGCGTATGTCTCTCTTTATCTATATAGACACACACATTTTCATTTGTCTTCCATATCATTTGGCAAGGAAAGAAATTTAAATTGCCTTCTGCTATTTCAGTATCTCTCACTGGATGAATGAAATATTTCTTTTTGATTCATGTGCATAAACAGCAGACGTGTAATTGTTGGCTGGTCTGTTTTTACCTTTCATGTTGTAAAGCAGAAAAATCCACACAAATACATTGATGAAACTGAAAGTCACAAAATTATTATAATTAACTTCATTTTTCTTTAAAGATTCATGCTAGTAGAGATTTTAATATCTCCCAGTAATTGGTGTTAAAAGCGAACAATTTTGCAGCCAGGTTTGTAGTTTACCCAGCTTGTTGCATGTTCACTCTTAAAAGTAAATGTAAAAATTAGAATTTTCTTTCCGTATACTTCTGCCTCATGCTCTAAATTGATATAATGTGTAATTTTACAGGAGGTGCTGCATGTTGCAGGGGTGGAAATGCAGTTAACAGCTGCTGTTTCATTTTTGACTGTTCTGCAAGAGGAGTCAGTGTCCATTCATACGTACTCTCACTCCTTCCTACACATCATTCTCCAGAACCTGGAACACAGAGATGCAGGTCAGGGCAATACAACTACATTGATGAGTGATTACTTCTGTATATTTTGTTTCCTTAGTGACCATACAATACTGTGTGAAGCAGTGAGTGCAGTCGCTGTGACTTTGTATCTAGACTTTCCATGAATGAAAAGAATTTTGAACGCTGACCACTTTACGTACTGGTATTTAAACATACTTTAATTAATACTTCAATGAAACATATAGCAAAAAAAACCCCCTTTGTCTGAAGAACTAAATCCTAAAGTTGTTACTGAGTCCAAGCTTCTGCTGAAGTACCAGAATTTTGAAGCTGAGAACTTTGTAGTTCAGGGTTGGACTAGATGACTTGCCAGTCCAAAACATTCTGTGAAAAAGGAGGGAGAATGGTTGACCTTTCTTCTGTGGTAAATAATTTTTCTTAATTTCTCTGACACTATTTTTAGGACACAAATTAAAAAATGGTCTCTTGTAAATTTGCCACTTTTTGTGTCGGTGGATGTGTAAAAGGATATGCTTTTAAATGAGGGAAATAATCTTTTCAAAACAAAAAGGATCATGAGGGTTTTTTTATACAGGAATTGAAAAAGTAGAAGAAATGGGGACAGAACTTGCTTCTCAGGTATCCTGCTTCTTAGTTTGAATTCCTAGATGTTAGTTCAGTGGCTTTTGGATAAGTAGCTCATTGAAGAGGTGTCTGTGACAAGTGAGAAATAATTCTGTAAAACTGATGTGTGTTCTGTTGTACTTATATGTACAACATGACATATAACCTGTTTCTTTGTCACAGGTGTCAGCAATGCATGGCTAGAAACTCTTCTTGCTGTAATAGAAGCTTTACCAAAAGAGACTGTCAGACATGAGGTAATAATATTGTCCCACTTATGCTAACAACAAATTAAGAATATTTTATAAGACCATATTTCCCTGCAAGTCTTGTTTACTTCAGGAAGATTTGTGGCAGTTCTATGCCTGTGAAAACAATGGTGGTTTTGGGACATACTGTAAGAGAGGAATGTGCTGAAGGGTGAGACATGAAGGTCACTTAAAAAAATCTTAGTCATCTTCAGCAAATAAAGACTATTTACTGTAACACTTGCATTGCCCTTGTTATTGTCGGTAACGTTTTCATGTATCCTGTTTTGGTTTACAGGATAGTATCTCGTTCTTTGTTGTCTTAAGCTATGTTTTGTTTGCTACTGGACTAAAATTCTGATCAGGGACTTAATGCTAGAGAACCATTGCATTGTACATTTTGGTTGTTCTTGATTTACTGAAAATCTCATGCACTGCAAACACTCAGTTTTTCACTGTATAGCTCAAGAAAGAGGAAGGAAATTTGTCACGAAGTCATATTGTCACTTCCCTTTACTCAGCTAATCTATACAATTTTTTTATATATTCATATTTAATTAAGTTTTAAAGCTTTGCAACAGGCAAACTGTTTATAATTTAAAGCAATATAATGATTTAAATATTTGCTTGTTTATGTAGTATTAAAATACTCATTAAAGTTAGTGGGTCACTGAAATCCATCACTGTTGACAACATAAACTTCTAAAGGGTGAAAAATTAAAAGGTTTGCGAAAAAAAGGGGGAGAAATTATTTTATTCACCTCCAAAATCTAAAATATGCCATTTAAACAAGATGGAATTTCTCCCCTCTTTTTTCTCTAGGAACACATCTGTAAGTTTCCAGAAAAACTTGCTTTTGGGGGATGACTGATAAAGCAGTGTTAATTTGGCAGCTAAACAGAAACCTGAATCTGAAGCGGGGCTTTTTGTGTTTCACTGAAGGATCTGTATCAGAAAACATGAATATTCTAGTTGTTAATATTTTTTTTTGTAAGTAGAAATCATAGGACAATCAGATTCCAAGGCTATAAGGAAAGGTGTATGTCAGCCTAAGCCAGTGTCCTGTCCCATTGGAGTGGCTGTCTATACCAGTAGTTTGAGTTAGTATTACTAGATGTGGTGTGGTTGCTGTTTTAATTCAAAGACCAAATAATTAACATACAGTTTTGTAGATAACTAATGATATGTTCATTTCTGCAAGGTTAGAAGCATGTGTTATGTACTAATTCTAGTCTGAGTGATCTGTTTGTCCTTACAGTGGAAAGATTCTCTCACCTCAAAATTTCAGCTGGTGAGAGGAGAAGAAAAATGCTTTTAGGATATTGTTATATTTTCCCACCCTGTGTATTATCCTTTTGTGGAGCTCTGCAAGAGATCCTGAGTGAGGAAATGTGGCAGATTAGAAGAGATGTTCCTTTTAGCCTGGCATCTGGATTTCTGTGATTATTTCTGGGGAAAAAAAAAAAAAAAAAATTAAGTACGGTGTTTTGTGGGCTTCTTAGTTTGTTTCCGCCACCACAGAGGTGATCCCAGAAATGACAGCAGAGCTTCAATAAAGATGCAGGTCTTCTGCATCTGTATGGAAGTGAAACCTTGTCCTCACAGGTTCCCAAAGCCCAAAGGATGCATAACTGAGTGGTTTCATTGCCTGAAAACATCAAACTTAACATCAACATCAAAATTATGAGAAAGGACCTCAGAGAGGCTTCTTTTTCCTTTCCCTCCTTGTTTCTTTTTTTTTTTTTTTTTTTTTTTTTTTTTTTTTTTTTTGTGCAGGAACATATGTAACAACTTTTGTGAAAATTAGTAGCTAATAGCTATTCATATACATATTCATATATACATATATATGTATATTCATATACAACTTAGGACTAAAAAAATTACACAAGTAGACAGATGTAAAACTGTGGCTGTGATGTGAATACTGAACTATGATTTGGGCCAAGATATGGTTTTAATACGCTGTAATTAGCATATTACTATTAATAACTGAATATTAAATATGGGTTTCCAATAGACTATTAATGTACATAGGCATTATTATCATTAGTGCTAATTCCATGAAAGGGGTAAAAGACATTTGGGATATGTTTTTCTAGATTTTTTTTTAAAAGAAGAGGAATACATTATTAACTGCTCATGTTTCTTATGCTCACATTTCTTTTTTCTTTTGTATAGATCCTGAATCCACTTCTTTCCAAAGTACAGGTTTCTCAAATGCTTCAGTCCCGCTTAGTGAGTTGTAAAATCGTGGGAAAATTGGCTAGCAAATTTGAACCTCATATGTAAGTAGACTGTACATATATTTTCATTCCACACTATATACCAGTATTTCTTTGTTAGTGGG